ACTTCCCCAAAACGTGGGTTTTATCTGTAGTATCCATAAAACGAGACACTATCCCCCTCAGCCCAAATCAAACCAACAGCACAGTTTGTCTGTAATTATTGTTATCAATTAGATAGGTTACATTGGCTTTATCAGAAAAATGCCTCATCAGCCAAAGTGCTACCTGCACTCTGCAGGGTGAGAAATGCCCTCCAAATCCCCCAGGATCCTTCAAGATCATTCCCAAGTCTGCTGGAAAGCTAAGCTATTATCAATTAGTTTGGGAGCGAGCTCACTCATACATTCCTTTTCTTTTAGTCTAAATGCCCTGAATTGTTTTAATAAAACGTATGACAAAGCTCATTTAATCTCTCTCTACTGTTATTCTCAGGATTTCCACTCAGCATTGAGTATTTCCAAGGCCAAACCCAACCCAAAAGCACAGAAGCCCATGCATAGACACAAACCCCCCAAACCCAGCCCCCAATATGGTAATCTATATTGCTAGTGTTCTGTGCTGCCTGCCTGGCCCCAAGTCATCAATAATGAATAGAAATGTACAGCTACAGCAGTAGCCTGTGTCATGGGCTTGTCAGGGATTTTTGAAAAGGAACAAAAACACAGGTCTGCCATTTGATTGTGTCTTCCTCTGCAAATGCAGGAAGGGCAAAGCAAAGTGGTATTTATAAAGGGGTAATATTATTAACCCCCTTTGTATGAAATGAACAGTTTCCTCAGCCACACAGATTAAAAAGTATTTGCTTGCAATGCAACCAGTATTCTCCTCGGCCTGAGGATTTACAGTTGATTCTGAGCCCAGGGAGGAGAGGTTATTTCTATTTTAAGATAATGAATACATACTCAAGAGAAGTCAAATACCACAGTTTACATAGAGGGAGAAAGGATTTCTTTTCTTAGGAATCCAACAACTTCAGTATCAAGTAAATTTTGTTTTTAAAGAAGAAACTGAATGCATGGAAACGCATGTACACAAAGTCAGCGAAAGCCACGGCATTATTAAAAAATATGCAGATCCTCATGAATGGGCTAGAAAATATGAAAAAAAAAAAAAGGTGGTACTTATATATATATTTTTTTCAAATGTTCCCAAACACACTTCTACAGATATTATGACTGTGGTCTTACAGGAGTGATTATCTCACATTTTACAAACAGAACACACCAGCTGGTACACTACCAATCCACCCCCTGGGGAGGGTGGGTGGCAGACTACAAAATGTCTACAGGACACACACGAACTAAACTGATTGAAAACTCAGTAGTAAACCCAAATATTTCTTGCTTTCCACATCTGCATAAATTCCAGAAAAAGTCCTGCATTAATATATTTAATTAATAGAAACATTAACTTTTGTAGTAGATGAGTATATATTCTCCACTTTGGAAGACTCAGCTGAAGATGCACCCTTGTCTTCAAAAAACCTGGAACTAGACAAATTGAGGTAATTTTAATAAGAAATGAAACTATATAAACATGAACTTCCAATCTGGCATCAAAAGCAAGACATCTCAATTCAGATTACATTGCCAGGCCTTCTTTCCCAGAAGCCAGTAACAAGAAAAAGCACATGGTTTAAACACAACTGAGGAAAATCTTCAGAAAGCAGCAATCAATAATACAATTTAACCAGCCTACTCTGCGTTCTGACCTAATGTTATCTTGTGATAACTGTTTTTAATGGCTAGAGTGGGATATTATCGTATTCAGCTGAGCTCAAGTGTGCATAAATCGCTGAACGTTCATGGGCTGAATATGTTATTAATGACTGTGAATAAGGAAAAAGGACCATAAACCACCTTTCTGTGGCAGATAATAAAATAACTGCCTCAAAATCAAAAGTACACACTCCAGCACGCTAAGGTTAAAAAATCCCCAAACCACAGAAATGTGATTCTGTTTAAACTAACGGATTAAATTGAGATCATTTACTTACAAAAGAAACTTTATCCTATTTAAAGAACTCCAAAATTATTTCATGGCAGAAAAAGTTGCTTCTCAATTCTAATTCCAAATGCACTTCAGCATGACTACACTAAAAATCTTTCATTTTGCAAATTGTGTACAGTCGGTAAAAAGTTCTTTTCTCCTAGTGACATCTTTTTGTGGTTTTGTGAGTGCTCAGATACCCCTCCTCCAGCCCACTGCCCAAAGACAGGTTTGGCAGCACAAAACTTCTGCTTTGTTTTGAATATCCCCACGGAACACACAATCTACTTGGCACACATTTTCATGTGCTGAATATGCACATCTGCAACAAGAAAATGCAGGAGGGGTTCTCATATGTGGTAGAATGGGCCATAACCTCATTCTTGTTATCAATGCCATATGACCCTTGGAGCATCTTGTGATTTATTTTTTAAAAATCCATCTGCTTCAAATATGTTCATTTTTTGGTTTGTTATTCACTAGATACAGATCTCACATTCAAGAAAAGATCAGTGTCTTTGTTCAGCATCACACTGTTGCTCAAGTGACAGTGGAAAAGTAAAAAAGTCAGGCAGAGGCATCCTAAAGAACTGCTTTATGAAAACACAACAACAAAAAACCCAAACAAGAAAACAAACAGGAAAAGAAAAAAAAAAAAACATGGAGGAGGGCAGCAAACAAAACTTGGCTTTGTACTCCATTTCCTGTATGGGTTGTGCCACTGCAACTTGCCATCAGAAGGAGACTGCTTTTCCCCTGTCTGATATGAATACTGGTTTTGCATTTAAATCATCTGCCCCCAAATGTGAGTCTTTGATTCAGTAACATAACAGAATATTTCCAGAGGGGGAAAGTGGTTTCTGAAAACAACAGTCCTAGTCTGGCAGAGACTGTCTAGGCAGGGAAACGAGCTTGTGTGTGAGACTGGAACCAAAGGAAGAGAAAATATTTCCCTCACAGCCCCCACAATGAAGGTTTGTTTTTTTTATTTCAGCTCTTAAGAGCTCAAATGGCAAGACAGTGTTAACCTGGAAGGTGTTTCTATTTTACAGGAGGTAAAACAAGAGAACAACTAAAAGATGTTATCCAAGATTTCTACCTTCCTCTTCTCAGAGCAAGAGTTCTTCAACCTACTTTGTCCTCAGGGAACCACAGCTCCAGAGGTGGCTCCTTTGTGACTCCTCAGGCTTTGCCCCAGCTCTTCCCAAAGAGCCACTCCCAAGGCCAGAAGTTCACAGTATGGGATTAGACCATTTGTGTACTTAAATTTACAAAAGCCTCAGTCCTCTGCATCCAGAATAATTCTCATTCTACAAGCAGAATATATTCCTTTAAAAAGTGGAATCCCTTTTGTAATTACTCAGTTAAATGACACATCACACACATTCACAGTGCTTCATTAGATGAAGGAACAAAACATATCCCTAAAGCCTTTGATTTTTACTGAGGGTTTCTAGGATTTTCTAACCAATAATATATTTGTTTGTGCCTATTTTGTGTGCCTAAAACTGTTTCACCTGGCGGGTGGCAGACCGGACTTCTCCACAGAAGTTGTGAAACACTGAACTGAATCACTTGCTATCCATCCCTACCCTGAACATGGGAATTTCAGGAAGAGCAGCAAGATTCAATTCATCCTAAGATAAATAACTGACACGATTTTCAAAACAGTTCTCTGATGTTTGCCTCATTGATCTAACATAAATCAGTGATATGAAACCTAAGAACACATTACAACATCATTGCAATCTACCACTGAAAATCACAGAACCAACTCATCATTCAGCTCAGCGTTACCTGATAATAACTACTAGCTACCCATTACAGGGCAGTTTCAATACCCATAGCATGGAATAGTTAAACAGCCTCATCCTGGTGTTTAATACTGGTTCTGGTTGAAAATGAGAAACACACCTCCTCTCTGCCTAGGTATGAAAAATGTGTTTCTTCAGAGAACAGATCCATACCCTCCAGTTTATACATTACCAGTTTATTGTCAGCCCTTTTCATTTAAAGTGCAATTTCCATGTGAAAAAGACACAATTTCATGTTTTGGGTTTTTTTACTGAAGTCTTACTGTATACTCTCACACAGGTGACAAAGGCAAAAATAACTGTTCTGGTTATTTTCCATTGCACACAACTATTTAATCTCTTTTCCAAAGCAGTTTCATGCAATGCAAATGCACATAATACAGGCTGGCACAGCACCCCAGTGGGCAAATCAAGGCCCTATTACTAAAAGGCCACAATGCCATCATCTCTCTCATTTCTGGATCAGACAAAAAGGGCATCAGGTTACCTCCTACACAGAACAAAAATAACCATCCTGTAAGGCTAAAAGTAACAATAACTTGGGATGGTCATTCCCAAGCTGCAAGCTATCTAAAGATTTTTTTTTTTTTTAACCACACTGTTCTACTGAGAAGGCACACGAAGAGTTGAAAGATTGCTTGCCAGATGCCTACTAGATCTTTAGATGAACACATACAAAAGCTAAAACTGCTGAGTTACTTTTTATCTATCTTATGTAAGAGGGCGTTTTAAATGTAAATATTATACTTAAATTAGCATTTCTGGTTTGCCTACAATCAAAAGCCTCTAACATCATGACAACGAGGTGGCCTAGCAACCCAGACAGACAGACACAGGAAGTTCAGTCAGTCAGTAATAAAAAGCTTTGGCTGTCTGGCTTCAGGGAGAAGAAAATTGCTTGGAGGATCACTTCAATACTCTAGTAGGTGATGCACTATTTTATTCTTTCTGATAGCTGCAGTTTAAAAGAACTCAAAACAGGAAAATGTACATGTAAAGGCTGAGCAAAGATGTGGACTGATGCTTTATTTTGTTTTGTTTCAGATTCACGCTTTTGATAGAGCCTGGGGAGCCAGAGACAGAAGAAAGGAAACTGTCCCCAGTGCCTGACAGTAACAGAAGTGAAAACAGCTGCTTGAGTTGCTTGCTACCTGCAGAGTGGCTCTAGGAGCAAGAGGCTCTGCTGGGGCAGCAACAACCTCTGCAGTGTTTGCAGACATCACTGCAGTGCACTTGCCAGCAAAACAAAACATACTTACCAAATCACAGTCATAATTTCATTGCTTATCATGATTCGCTGAGAATACACCGTCATTCTACTCACCAGCAAATCTACATCTAAATTTACCCTGTGGTAAATTTAAATTTACAGTGCTGCTCATGAGGGACCCAAGCCTGATCCTGTAGCTGAGCAGCTACAGCTCCTCCCAGAGAAAGGAAGGATTCTGCCCCTAGAAGGAAGGTTTGTTTTATAAGAGAGGTGCTGTCAGAACTGAGGATTTTTCTCCACCCTCCTTCACTCTAATTACATCTAGGCATTAACAGTGCTAAACTCTGTGTTTATGAGAAGCTTTAAATTCTTCTGTCAATATGACTGACTTTCCCTTCACTAGTCTTCTTGAGGTTCCTTCTTTTCTATTCCTTTCTCTTTTGCCTCTCCTCAAAAACTTTTCCAAACAGATTAAAACTAGAACCCTTCAAGGAACTGACATCCAAGTACCTAACATTTAATACCCTAACACCCTATACCTAGCAGGACACAGAGGCTCTCTGCATTTTTTTTCATGCATGTGTTTTTCCAATAACTCTTACTTAAGCATGAGACCAAGAAACACCTTCTAACTCCATTGCTAACATCAGCATTGAAAAAAATCCCCAACATTAGCTTGTCTTCAGTCCTTCACAGCTACTGGCAACTCACTCAGACAACTGGCAAATAAATCTGCTGTGGTCATTTATCCAGCAAGCAATGATTATCAAGATGAACATTGCCAGATTTGACAAGTAATGGCTGTATTAAATACCATAAGAGTACATTCCTCAGAAGCTGATGGCCCATCCACAGAATTCTTATAATTAGCAGCAATAACCATTCTGGGTAAGTGACTATTCTCTTCCAAGGGTAATAGCATCTGCTTACATAAAGGGGTATTTTTGGCACATTCTCAAGGTCTTCTTTCTTCTGCCCTGCTGTCAGAACTCTAATCAGGTATGCACAGCACCTACAGTGGTCCTGCATACTCCAGGTAATTAGCCTTTCCACTAATCAGAGAGCATCTCTCATTGCTGCAAACATACAGGACATTGTTCCTTAACTCTGAGGTTTCCTTTGCTCATTTCTCAAAGAACTGACTCAACACCGGGTACCTTGAACTACACTTTCAACGCACACAATTTAGAGCTTTCCAAATAAAACAATTTCTGAGTATTTTGCTGGAAGCTGAATTTAAAGACATGAATTATCGATGTTTCAGCTAAAATGTATCCCTGATCTTTCCCTTTCCTCCTAATAGTTAAGAAAATAAAAGCTCACAATATGTTTCTCTGTGACCATCTCCACATGCCTTTCTGCTTAAAAAATTGATCATCTTAGATAAAAACTAATTTGCACCTATGATTTATTAAGACAAGAAACTCGTGTTTAGAAAGAAAAAGGCTGCAGTAAGTGTCTGTTCTCTGACAAATGGCAAAAAATACAGCTGATTTAACAAATGAGTGCTCAATCAATGATGCACTGAGGCACATGACAAAGGGAAGTCAAAATCCATTACATTCAAGAACCTCCTTTAAATTCCACTTCAGTGCACTGACCCTGTTGCTCAATGCTAAAGACTTTACAAGGTTTTCGGAAACATTTAGAGAAGCTTTTGTTTCGGCATTCACTCAGCTGCACCTCACAATTAACACTGCCAGACTCCTCTCTAATCAATTATTCATTAAGATTACTAGCATATCTTTTGAGCGCCTTAACTTCACATCACAAGTGTGCGAGGGATGATACATCCGTGTGTACTTTGCAGAATAAAAGGCAGACTCTAAGCAGGTTTTAACGTTTAAATGAGAACAAGGCTAAAAGAAGCGAAATCAACACTTTTAGTCAAAGTTGAGCTTCAGGCGAGCTGCAGGCAGTGCACAGCGTGAGAGAATTTGGCTCCAGAAAGTGCCCATGTGTTGACAGCTGAATAAGAGTTTGAAGGCTTAATGGTAAGAAATGTTCAGTCAGTGGTAATGTTACACTTTACTTACTCAGTTAACTACTCATCTTCTCCAGCCCTGACAGCTGATGACACAAACCCCATTCAATTCAAGTTTCACCAGTTGCTATACAAATATGTTTATACACACGGCTAGTATTTTTACCAGTCCAAAAAAAAAAAAAAAAAATCAGGAAATAATTTTCAGGATATAACTATCAAATACAATTGTGCTGAGAAATTAGGAATGCAAAAAAATCTGAAAAAGTTGCTGAAACTATAGAAAAAAACTCAAATAATTTGAGCCTATTTCTACAACTACAATAACACGTGTGAAATAAGGAAATATCAATTTATGCTATGGTAGAACCTATTCTATTAAACACATGTGTTGGTGAGGAAGATGTCTGACCCCTCAACGTAATTTAAGCACATAGGGTAGGAAGGTTCTGTATTTTAAGTCCATAAGAGATCTGACTTGGGCTCTGAAGTTAGAAAGGTATAAATGGTCCTCCCAACAGCACACAGAAAAACCCTATTATCACAAAATCTTTTAGGCTGGAAAAGACCTTCAAGATCCCACTGTCAAGTTGAAATGATGAAGTTTTCAGTCCTTGTATCCACCTGCTTTATCTGGGTCAGGATGAGCAGCCCGATAGGACAGTAGGCAAGATGAGCCTATTTACTTAGAATTTTTGCATTTTCTAAACATCACAGCATGAGTAAAGTCTAAACAAACAAAAAAACACCAAAAAAAAAAAAAAAAAAAAAAGAAAATAACATTACCAAAGACAAGCAAATGGTAGATAATAACTGTTCAAGCACCCATGGTGTTACCAGAGCAGAACTGAGTTTTCTGAATCTAAAGTGGTATTTAATAAAATCTCATAATCTAAGCGTGAACAAGTCTGTAGCTGCTTAATAACATGTCAGTAAAATGCCAGGGGTGCCTAATACTCCTCTATTCTGCATGCCCACAGCTGCTGCTGTCCTGGCTGAGAACAGCAGCTCTGTGTTTACTTTCTACACATAGTGATAAGCACATCATTTACCAAAATCTGGTAACTTTTTGGTAAATAAAAGGCAGATCATTTACCAAAGACTGAATATCACATTCCAGAACCTGATCTTACATCACAGAAACAATAAAAAACCCCCAGCTTATCAGCAGCTGGAAGCAAGAGCCAGGCAATGCCTTTGAGCATCTGCAACAGATTCCAGCACTTCAAAATGAAGTGAAATTATGCTCATGACTACACCTTGCTCCTTAGGTTATCAAGTGGCCTAAATGCATAACTCCCAACAAATGGATTTCTTGAAGCTTCCCAATTCACTGAAGACAGAGGTGCCCAGAAACATTTAAAACAAACAAACAAAATTAGAATAAGGAGCTTAGAAGTGAAACTCCCCTTGAAATTAAATTAGGTACTTTGAAAAGTACCTATTATAACTTTACAAAGCATACAGAAAGCTAATTGTGTGCTTCAACAGACAATTGTATTCCTGAAATAATATTCATTATCACACATACTGTAAATATGTGCAAAAAACCTCAATGTATTGAAATACTGATAGCAAAAGAACTTAGTGCTATCAAACCAGCATTGTTGCTGGCTTAGGGACAGTAAAGATATTTAAATGGCCTTTGGAAGAAGTCTACTGAAAGGTATGAATTCATTGTACAAAATACCAGCTTATAAGATGTTTTTTGTTCCTGCTACACTTCCAGTGATTTCATGGAACTTGGTTATTCAGAAATAATTGTTTCAAGCAGAAATAAAATATTCTATCTCCCAGAAAATAGACTGATATTTCAACTGAAGTACAGTCTAAATCCTTACACAATTTCCTTTACTATCCTGATTTCTTCTTTTTGTTTAGAGGTAGCACTTGCATATGTTATCTCTGCTTTTCAAAGAGAAAATAATTATTTAGATTCATATGTAAATTCCATGTTCCTTCATGGATTGTCACAGCAATGCATGACAGACTGTACAGTGCTACCATTGAAAATAAAGTATCTTAAAGGAAAATGAAAGGAGAACAAGATAGAAAAAAACCCAACAATAAAAGCATTACTAATTCTCTGTTTAGCATCAGGGGCCTGAACACAAACTACAGCTCTGCAATGGAAAGCTCCCAGCTGAGAGCCCTTTTGGACAGTTGGGTGTCACGAATTTCTGCTGCAACACAGAGATCTGTGTTCAATGATCACTTTTGCAAATGCTCATTGTGGAGCTCCCCATCATTTGTAAAACAGATCAAATGGTCCCACTCCACACCCCCACCCTGTTTATCACTGTGTGTGTAACCCTGTCCTCAGGGTGTTTATGAACAATGTTTAAAAGGCAGCAATATGCACAGCTGATCAGACCAGCAGCTGATCAGTATTTAATCACCAAATCCAATAAGGAAACAAATGAGGCAGAGCACAGGGGTAGAAAACAAAGGTAGGTGGAAAATGTTAAATGAGCCACCAATTTATGGAAGATAAAAGCACTCTCAGAAACAATTTACAAAACAATTTTCTTTTTACACATTTAATAAACATTCTGTCAGAGTAAACGAAATCTCAGAAGCTGGAAGTTAAAAAAAAAAAATCAATTAAAATGAAGTCACAGGGAATGGTGGGAATTGTTCCTGGCAGTTATTTGATATAGTATGGTTAATATTTCTAGTCAGGCAAATTAACAGTTTGGCTGCTGTAGACTTGTACTCACACAATACATAACCTCTGAGGGTTTGTTCTAAAAATTATAGAAATTTATGCATAAATACTGTTATATAGCTACATTTGAGATGTACAATAACAGTTATTTACCACACAGACTCTAATACAAAGAAATTCTACACTGCTAAAAACAGCCGAAAAGAATGTCTTAAAATAAAAGTAAAAAAGACACCATTCATTCCACAGGGTCCCATTTCACTTGTAAAAAATATTTTGAAAGCTCTTAAATGAAAATCCGTTTCTCTAGCCAACTGTATCAATAGATGAGCTTTTCTTTAATACCATTCTGCTGTATAATTTGTACTGTGCCACACTATATTGATTGAAGAAAATTCCAGTGAGGCAGTGTCAGTTTCTGTTTCTACAGGGAAACCACTGAGCTGAACAGCG